TATACCAAAAATTATACAGAAGCATGATTGGCAGTTTGTTATATTTGACTGCTAACAGACCAGACATCTCTTTCGGTGTTGGACTTTGTGCTCGCTTCCAATCCGATCCCAAAGAATCACATCTACTTGCTGTGAAGAGAATTCTTTGCTATGTAAGTGATACTACAAACTTTGCTGTATGCTACTCATTTAACTCACATGTTGAACTTACAGGTTATTTCGATGCAGATTAGGTAGGAAACATTGATGATAGGAAAAGCACAATTGGAGGATGCTTTTACATAGGCAACAACCTTGTCTCCTGGTCTAGCAAGAAGCAAAATTGCATCTCTCTTTCCACTGCTGAAGCCGAGTACATAGTTGTTGGAAGTTGTTGTATACAGTTGTTATGGATGAAACAAATGCTCAATGACTATGGCATTTGGCAAGGTAAAATGGTAACGTTTTGTGATAACATGAGTGCAATTAATATCTCTAAAAATCCAGTTCAACACTCTCGCACAAAACACATTGATATTCGTCACCATTTTATTCGTGAATTAGTGGAAGATAATGTGCTCTCACTTGAATTTATCTCTACTGAAAAACAATTAGCTGATATTTTTAACAAACCTCTAGACAATCTTCGGTTTGAAACCCTTAAACAGTTTTTCGGTATCTGTGCTCTAGATTAATTCGGTGTCTACTGCATGTCAAAGCCTCTTCCATGTTTTATGATATTTAAATTACTTTTTGTTTCTATAAATCTGTCCAGCTCGTGCAAGGAATGTTAAGTCGTATCAATCCTGTAATTTTCTGAATGTATTTGATGATCTTAGATTTGGCTCTAGCACTGCATTATCTTGAGAACACACACTCTCAGCTTCACACACAGGTTTCCATTGTCTTGGTGCATGATAGACTTCATTAAATGATCTATGCATCTAGTTTTTTTACAATTGCACACACACACTGGTTTCTTTGAAGTACCTTGAATGTCTCCTCTCTTGCACTTGTCTCTCTTTGGATTGCCATCACACTATTGTACATAAGCTCTTAATTTGTTTATAAAAAAAAAAAGGTAGTGACTTCTCATTGCTCAGTAACAGAGCCTCTTGTCTAACCAACATCGAGGTTCGAGTCAACAGGCTGTGATCGTTTGCTGTCCTTGCTTGTCTTTAGAGCCTTCATGATTCGGATTAGTATTTCCTCAAGGGTGCCTCATCACCTAGTTCCTTACAATCATTTGACTTGAGCACACTAATTGACCATCTGCCACATGGATCATGTCGAAAGCTCAGTAAAGTGAGCCACCAAATAAGTACACAAAATAAAAATAAAATACATTCAAATCACAAATAAATTGATCATCATATACGTACTATGCACTCAGTGGATGTGCTATCTTAGGTGGGATCAGTCTTCGGTGGACATATTCTTTGTGCTTAATTGAAAAGAGTTCACTTCACACCTTTGCTTCTTAATGGTAGACTCATTTCGTGCCTTTTATCTTTCACCATGACTATGGTATGCCTCCTCTTTTATCAGTGAGTTTGTGCATCTCGTGTGGTGTCTTGCTTTTGTCCCTGCCACGCCTTGCTTCACATGCATTTAAGACAGTGATGGGTCTGTTGCTAGTTTCTCTCCTCACTCACAAGCTTGGCATGTTTATGAATGGAAATTAATTATTTCCTCAAGAGAGTTTTGAGTCTACATCTACAGTTTGCTTTATGTATTGTTTGTTTTGTTTTTTATCCTTGTTCTTTTGTTCGCTATTTTTTTTCTTTTAGATTACCAGTTATATTTCGTTTTTTTTTTCATTAAAAAAAATTTATAACAAAAAACAAAAAACAAAAAAAAAAACAAAAAAACCATACGATGCGTTTCACGCTGGTTGTTTAAGTTGTGCAGTCTAGGTTGTCTTCTTCCTATCCAATTCGAACCTCGGCACCCATTGCCGCCACCCAAAAGTTCTTGTCTTCCACTACTCATCGCATCTTACCTCCGTCACCTCACTATGGTTACCGCTCGAAGCCGTCGGCCTTCCTCTTCCGCCGCCCTTGACCACAGCCCTTCTCGCTTCATGCGTCGTCGATGTACTGTTGATCCTTCTTCAGTCCTCACGCCTGATGCTTCCCTTTCATGACCTTCCTCTTCACGGTGCTCACATTCTAGCACAAATTCTCGTGCTTCCCCCCGTCCGCCGATCTCACACTTCGTGTCTCCCTCGTGCTCTCACCGCTACACTACTGTGGTCTGTCATTGTCACCTGCTAATTAAAGAGGACTTTGATCTCTCTAGCTTTGGCTTCAAATTCGTAAACTTTCTCACACGGCATCGTATCTTGTAGTTGGTTCGTGGTTTGCCGCTACCCAACTTCCAGATTGTTCGTGAATTTTATGCTAATTTTCCCGATGTCTCCGCTGCCTCTACTGCTCTGTCCGGACTTGCTGTGCATGAGCGTGGGATTTCTATTCCACTCAGTTTCCACTTTATTTCGGCTGCCCTTGGTCTGGCTCCTATTCGCTCTGGCAATTCTTGTGAGCCGGTTCCATATTTTCTTCCCTGTCATCGGCTAGTGAATCGACTCTATGTGTCTACACCCGAGGTGCTCCCCACCGAGCTCTCATGTGGTATGATGTCTCAGTGGACCCATACTCTATATATGCTTGTGCGCAACTATGTGAATCCCACTTCCCAACATAGGAAAGTGAGTTGGAAAACTGCTCATATATTGTCTTCCAGCTTGTGATTGAGCAATCTGCCAGTGTTGAGTTCTATATCCGTGAAAGCCTCATTGCCGCTGGTGCTGCAAATGCCACTGTTCCGATAGCAAGCCTTGTTCTACCTCGGATTATCATAGCTTTGGCTGCTCATGCTGGTGTCCATGCACTGTCTACAGATGATATTGGCTCTTCTGACACCATCAAAGTCAACAATCAGGTTACTTTACATCTCAGCGATGCTCGCTGTACTTCTGGTGGGTTCTCCATCGAGCAACGAGCCCTTTCGAATTTGCTCTCTACATCCCATCAAGTGATGCATGCACTTCTTCACCGCATCTGGGATCGTCTTGACATCTATGATGAGCTGTTGCTGACATTGGCTGGGCACATTCAGCCACCTGATCCTCCTCATCTTACTCGGGCTCACAGCCTCTAAGGTTCATTTATTCCGCTTCTGGATTTGTTCATTTTTTGTAGTTATCTCTGTGTCCCTTTGGATTTCCTACACAAAAAGGGGGAGAATATTTTGTGTTACATATGGGATTTAGGGGGAGTAATTTGACTATCGAAAGTAGAAACATGATATTTAGGGGGAGATAACTTTCTGTTTTGTCTATGGGATCAGAACTAGTAGTAAATTGATTAACCTCCTTACATATGAAGGATTGTTGTTTAATTGTGCCAAGTTGTGTTTCTTATTGTTTCAATTCTATTATGCTTCACTGGTAGTCTATTTGTTGGTGTGCAGAAGTTACAAGAACTGGATATTTGTTTGGCAAAGTAAACGTGTCTGAAATGTAATCTAGGGTTTTGTCTAGGACATCCCAAAGGGGGAGATTGTTAGTACGAAAATTGTATTGCCAATTCCTAGACTCTAGCATAGGTTGAAAATTAGTGTGTGAAGAATTGTTTACTGGACATTTTGGCACAACACATTCAATCCCATACTTCCGAGGCATAACTTAACCAATATGAGAAACTTGACTTTAGGTAAATCATGACATAATCATGTATTCACAATAGGATTTATAGTTGAAGTTATATTCAATGTCATTGTGATTTAAGTTAAAATGTTAGCGTTTCCTAGAGCGACGTGCACCATGCTCATCTCCTAATTAACTTGTTTTAGGAGATGATTGTTTCTTCATAAAAGTGGTTGTTTGGTGCCATCACTTAAGACTCCATATTGAATCACAATTCATATTCATAATTAGATAGTACTGTGTCTTCTATTTGGTGTCTAAATGAAGAGACCATATTGGATTAGGTTTGAAAGTCAAAGTTGGAGACAATTAGTGGTCACTTGGGTTCCTCTCTTTTGAGAGAAAACCTGCCTTGAGTAAAACGTTGGGTTTTCCCTTTCAAACTTTTTGAGCTTTCAACGATTGGTTTTTTAGCATATTGAATTTTGAAGAGAAAGCTACTGTGCATATTTTTTTAGATAAGTCATCAAGTGTTCCTTGTTTGCTTAGTGAATTATCAAATCCTTTTATCATTCATATTGCATTCATATGCATATCGGTGGCTCATGCAGTTGAGGGCATCGAGACTGTTGTGGCGTTTATCCTCTAGCGAGTTTAAAGCAATCGCGGCCAGTATTGCGTTCAACATAAAGAGTGTCGAAGATCATCCCGTGACAGAAATTGAGTTTTGAAGAAGTCGATAAACTTTATCTAGATTGTGTCTAGGATAAGTGTGTGAGTACTTCTTGTAATTTTGATTATACAGTGGATTTGTTCTGGACTAAGAAGTCCCGTGGATGTTCCCTAGAGGTGGGGTTTTACCAAGTAAAATAAATATATGCGTGTTCTTTTAGTTTAAGCTCTGCACATTTCAGGATTGATAAGTCATATCAATCCTCCTTCAAAAATCTATTTTTATTTACTGCTAATAATCTCGAATTAGCCAATTTACCCCTCTTTAGGCATTTTTAGTCATCCTACGGGTAATTTTAGAAGACTTGACCAAGTAGGCTTTGGACCTTGGCTTTTGGGAATTCCGTACCTTATGGCCTGATTAATTACTACTTTCTAAAATATACATTTCATTTAACTTGGTATAACCTGCCAGTCAATCTGCTACATGGCTAGGCTCTCCCTAATGAAGTTTTTCTCCAATGGAAATGCTCTAATTACCTTTTTGGGTATCCTAAAGAGTATAAGAGTTATGGACACCACATTTCTATTGGACGATGAAAAACCAAAAAACAAAAAAAGTATCAATATGCAACGGATACCAACTTTTTGTTACCAATTAATGTACAAAGGATAGGAATACCAAATTCTCAATAACAAAAAAATAATAATTTATGTCCCTTGAATAAAGTATCTAATACCCAACTCCCTCAACTTAGGCTAGAATTATTACATGTTCAACAAGTTCGAGCACATACGTAGTTAATATTACTTACATTGGTGCGTATACATGTACTTATACATTTTACTCTAATTCAGGAATTGCTTCTAACTCAAGGCGATTTGCTGGGATGCTTGCATGTGTTGTTGTAGGACCTGCAGAGACAAAAGGATTAGGAGGCATGGCCAAGTTATCTCCTCCTTCTAACATATGAACCGCTATTTGCATAGACGGACGATCCACCGGGTGCCACTGGATGCACCAGAGCCCTACAATTGCAAGTGTCTTCGGGATTTTACCATCTCCGTCATCTCCAATATGGATTCGTAGGTCATCTCCTCCTTCTAGAAGATTATAGATCCATTCTGGGTAGTAAATTTCATTTGCGTCCTTTGTGCTTGAACCAATATTCTTCCTTCCTCCTACCATCTCTAGCAACAACATTCCAAAACTATAGACATCTGACTTGTAAGACACATTTCCAAAATTCCTAGAGAACACTTCAGGTGCAATGTATCCCATGGTGCCTCTAGCTGTAGTCATTGACACCATACTTTGATCCTTGGAACATAATTTGGCCAAACCAAAATCAGAAATTTTTGGAGTGAAGTTGTGGTCTAGCAAAACATTATGGGGTTTGATATCAAAATGGAGGATTCTTAGATCACATCCCTGGTGAAGATATTCAATTCCTTTGGCTATGCCTACAGCAATATCATGCAACTTTTCCCAACCAAGGAAACTGTTCTTACTATCCGCTGATGAAATGAAATCCTGCAGCGAACCATTGGGGAAGAACTCATAAACAAGAGCTCGTCTAAATCCATCAGCACAAAAGCCAACCAAGCGAACTACGTTCACGTGGTGGATGTGGCCCATCATTCCCACTTCGTTTACGAACTCTTCCCCATTTCCCTTAGAATTGTTAAGTACTTTCACAGCAACAAAGAATTCAGAAGAAAGCTTTCCTTTAAAAACAGTTCCATAGGCTCCTTGGCCCAACTTGTCCTTGAACTGATTTGTGATCCTCTTAATATCTGCATATGAATATCTGCTTGGCTTGAGAGCTTTGTAATCCGCTAAAAATCTTTCAATTTTCAGTTGATTCTCTTTCTCCTTTTGATCAGCGCTATAGACACGATACACTGCAATGACCAGTACTAAAAGAAAAGATGAGCCCAGCGTTGCACCTGCAAGTAAATACAATCCTTGAGCAAACACATATCTTCCAACGTCTTCTCGACATGAAACAAAGCAAAAGAAAAGACCAGTCTTAGATAACTCACCCGTTGCCACGAATTCCATTGTTTTGCCTATAAAACATAAACATAATTGGAAAAATTAGACTGTCATGTTTCTGAGAATGACCCTGAACCAGCAAGCAGATTATCATATTGGTCATCAAGTTTGCAAATATGATTTACTTTGGAAACTCTACAAAATTGAGGAGAATATATGTGAAACAAATACTTACTTGCTTTCCTCACGTGAATACATTCAACTTCACTTTTGATGCCATTCTTGTTCAATCTACACCTCTTGCCCTCTGCTTCACATTCGGTACAATTTGGTTCAGACCACTTGAAGCGAAGAATATAGCTGTCAACTCCAACCCAAGTCCCAAATGGAACTGATAAAACATCATACATCCTTGTACAGGACTGTAAGGCGGGGAAGTGATCAAATAATTGAAAAAAAGAAGAAACGCCATAAACTCTGTAGCCAGGACTGCTGCTGAGGCAGGGTACTTGATACGCATATATATCTCTTTCAGCAAGTGTAGGACAAAGGAAAAAGGTAACGTTACGTATGTTGGAATCTAATAAGTGGAAGGGGGACACTGGAATGTTAGGGGTTTCTAAGGGCATTAACAGCAGGCAGCCATCTGGGTTATATACTTCGATTAGCCCACGCTTGTAATCTATGCTTTTGACAAAGAATTTTACTAGTGCTACTTGCTCCTCAAGAACCTTCTCCTGTCTACCACTGCATTCAAGGCCAGGATCACCACAACGATGTTCAAGGTGGAACGGGAAATGGATAGCCAGGCCATGATCATCACTGCACTTAGATTCTGCGCACGTATCTTGTCCTGCTCCAACCGCTTTGACGAAAACCATATACAATATGCAAAGGCAAGAGATGAGGAATTGCTGCATTTCTGAGTGGCACTGGATTTTTTCCTGAGCAGATGTATTTGGATAGATATGTCGAGTACAGCAATGAATTGACCTTGTTCAATCGACCACTCACAAGAAATCGGAAACAAGCTTGGCGCTTTTACAGTAAATAAATGAATATACAAACCAAGGCCAAAACTTGGACCAAAACAGAAGGAAAATCAAACACAAGAAGTCAACAAAACCCGGCTGAAATGGCACTATAAAATTTTCAATCAACTTATGTCGACCATTTGGCTGAAATGGCCAAAACTCTCTAACGTCATGGCTTACCTAGGCTTCTAATAATTAAATTGCTTGCTTGCTGCATGACTTTTCTTTTGATATTTTTCAAATGTTATCCAATAGGAAATTTGAAAAATTCTTCTGGATAGTGTGCTCATACACACATTTACCATCTCTTATAAGAAACTGTCTAAATATTAAGCTAGTTTGAATCCCGAACAACCCCTCTCTCTCTCTCTCTTTCTCTCTCTCTCTCCATGGGAAGCAGGTTCTTCGCCTTGTCTAGGTGGGTTTGGATAGTAGCACTTCTTGTTGTTGGGTTATCCGGCGAAACTTGTAACGCGAAAGACGACAGTACTAAGTGTACCTCTTCCTGCGGCAATATCCACTACATAAGCTATCCTTTCCGACTAAAACATGATCCAAAGCACTGCGGCAATGTAATGTATACTCTGTCCTGTGAGAACAACATTACACTTGTAGACCTACCTCCTTCAGGAAAATACTATGTCCAGGTAATCAACTACCACAACCAAACAATCCGACTCGTAGATCCTGGCCTCCAGAACAACAATTGCTCCTCCATGCCTCAAAATTTTCCACGTTTTTTAAGAGATCCATATAGTGTATATAATATATCAGGTTATCTGATATCGACACCTGTATTTTACATCAAGTGTTCGAATCCAGTGAATTCTTCTCTGTACGTGGACACTGCTCCATGCTTGAATATAGATGCTTCTTCTTTGGTCCAACAAAAGACGTACAGTTATGTGAAGGTTGGGGTTATGGAAGTGGGGGATTTGAACGAGGGTTGCAGTGCAGAGTGGTTGGCTTTGGCGCTCTTGAGCTACCCTAAGGGCCACAATACCTCTTATGAATCCGTACACAGTGCCCTCATGTATGGCTTTGATCTTAGAGTATCGTGGCCTGATGAAATAGCTCCTATCTGCCAAGGCCAATGGAGTTCTAATCTTAAATGTTTTCCACACACCATCCCAGGTACGTGAATTCTAGGCCATGGCTATTGACTATATATGTCTAATTTGTTGCATTTTTAGTTTATAAGAGTGCATAGAAGGAAGTTAGGGGAATTCAGACTTCTCGTGACTAGAAGTATCAAGAAAATACTTGTGTTGTCAAATCACGAATCTAACTTACACAATCAAGAAAGAATAAACATGACAAATGATTCTTATTCGCATATTTGCCAATGTATCAAATAATAACGTCAGATAATCTAGCAAGAGAATGGTTCACTTTAAACTAAAGTACAAAAATTGAAGTTCTTAGTTAAATTTAACTCGGCTTTTCAACTTTACCACTTAAGATAGAAACAAACTGAAATTTCTGAATTTATGCATCTTTTACTCCTAAACTTAAAGTTCAAAATTTTCAATTGACAAAAGATACCTGAGGCACCTGCATCGAACAAGAAAACTTACAATGCAAGCCACTATAAGCAGGGCAATAAAGAAAGTGCCAACTTTTTAGTTTTTGTCAAATAATTAAATGGCTTAATTTTTAATGGTGAAAAATCACTTTTAATTCTTGTAGTTTGTGATTTTTATCATTTTAGTTCCTATATTTCAATTTAATTAATTTTTATTTCGAGCAATTTAAGGATAATTGAGAATTTCTGTCAAATGTGTCCAACTTCTGTTACTTCTCGCACATGTGCTTCTCACACGGAGGGGCAATTTGGTCCAACCACCTATTGCTATTGACCTTGCTCTCCTTTGGCACCAGCCTTTGGACCTGCATCTCTCTCATGATTCAAACCCACTTTTACACGCTCCATCATCATCATCATCCATCACCACCAGGCACCGCCAACTCAACTTTATCTTCTTCTTTTTTTCTAGTCTGAAACTTCAATCCTCCCTACTCATGCCATGATTGACTTTCCCTTTCCTTTTCCCTTTGGTTCTCTCTACCCTGCAACTTCTTCCCTTTTGTAATCCCAAAGAATTCAGATTAAAAAGGGAGCGTGAAGACTGAAGAGTCAGACCAGCCAAAAAAACAAAAGTGTATTGTAGGTGAGGATTATAGGGAGCGTGAAGACTGAAGAGTCAGACCAGCCAAAAAAACAAAAGTGTATTGTAGGTGAGGATTATAGGGAGGTCAATCGTGCCGGAGAATATTGTAAATAGCTTCCTAACCATCAAATTCCAAAGCCACCCTTTGCACTCCAAATTGAATGCAAATACTTTGCCAAAACAACCCAGTTACCATAGGAATATTACCTTCATCTTTTTTTCTTTTATTGTTCTTATATATATATATATATATGAAGAAGGGGGAATCGAATTTAAAACCTAAAATTCAAGATAAATATTCTTAATTATTTGAGATACAAGCCTCTTTCTATACCTCATAGTTAAACATGTTACAAAAGTTTGATTATATATAAACTTACAACACATGACAAAGTTCTCATTGGATAATACTAGATAATCATCTATCAGGTACAGAGGAATTCCTTGGTAAACTTTATTTCCTTGGGTTAAGATGTTGTAACAAATTTCAAGAAAAATAATAAAAGCAGATCTTTAAAAAAATTAGCAGAAACATCCCTAAATTAAGAATTCATACATCATTAGTCACTACGCACCCTCAAGTGAAACTTTTCTTTTCAGTATAGCAGTTGGCTTGGGGCTTATGTTTGGCTTACATAGAGCCAGGTTTATTCTACCCGGATCACCGTATGTCATTGGGACAACAAATAAAGAGTTTCTTTAAAGAAAATCATAGCCTTCTAAATACACAGAGGGTTGAAAAATGGCCCACATGACATCAATCTAATATCCATATAAGAGCACTTCTATCCATGATGCCTTGGCAAATGATAAAGGTAAGTAAGGACAGACACTAACCACGTGAATCGTGAATAGTGATTGTCCTATCCTGTTTTATTTTGCTTTTCCACCCAATTGTCATGGCAAATAAATGCAAACTATTTTTAGACACGGAGGGGCAAATGGTGTACCGATTCATAACTTTAAGGTTGTTTTTGCCAATTTTTAAAAGACATAGACAAATTGTACATATACCAAACCACAAGAATGGAAAATGTAATTGATCCTTAAGTTTAAAGACTTGGTGTGCTAATATGTTATCTTCTTCTTTGTTCGTGTAGGTTTCTTTCGATTTCTGTGCGAGGCTATTTACGGTAAAGGCTCTCTCTTTATCTGGCTATATGTTATTTTTTATTTTTTTAGTGTGAAATGAACCTACAAAAGGAGCTTGTTACGGATTGAAGATACTTTTAATAACATTGAATGAGATTCAGAATAGACCAAATATAAATAAATGTTTCCACATTTCTTAGATTAAAAAAATTGGGAAATGAATTGATTTCAAAAATTATTCAACCAAATAGTAGTTGGAAGCATGCAGTATTGTTGCACCTTATTATTTTATTTTTTTTAAATTAGGTATGTGGTCAGCTTTCTTTAGACTTTTGGACTTATGAAATCCCATGTTCAAATACACTTTAGGCTTGATTCCACTAGGAAATGTAATACTATATCAAAACCCTCAATTAAAAAGTTTAAAATAAGATGTAATTCTCTTTTTAAATTGTATGGTAATATAAACAGTTTATCTTGTTAGATTTTGAATTCCAAACATAAATTTGACTCTTTTAGAAGTGTCCATATTCACAATTTAACAACATAAATATTTGTCTCACAATAGAACATTGCTCAAAATAAGACATACCAAAACAATTTCTCCATGAGCAATGAGCAGTTTGTGGCTGGAATAGAGGTATTTCAAATTGTAATGACTGGACGTGCTAATGTTGTTTCTTTTTTGGTCACTATAGTTTTCTTTTCTCGTGGACGCGTGTACATTGGTAAGGATTTTCTCCCCAAAAGTTTCTTTTATTTCTTTTTCTTTTTCTCCTTTTTTTTCTTGTCAATTACATCACGACAATTGTGAGTGGATACTAATGAACTTGTGATAAAAAAAAATTAGGTCAATTCAAACTTAGTCAAGTCTTTGTTTTTACTTACATTTTGTTGTTGTATTTCTTGCAGATAATCCTCTATGGTTTCGGGCCATCAGCATCAGTAAGATCTTGTATTTCTTGCATATAATCAATGCTTTGATTTTGTTCACTTTTCGAAAACCTACAGTCAAGACTTTGATTTTGTCCCCACTTTTGCTATGTTTCTTGCAGGACGTGGATGGGTGCCACTCATTTGCTTCGGTAAGAGCTTGTATATATTACCCTTGAATGACATCAAAGAATACATATTTCTGAAACAAAACAACAAGAAAAATGTTGAAAGCATTAGTTGATCTAACCAATAAATTTGTTTTCTCATGATTCTTTTTGGTGATATATATCTCGTCAGGTTTATTTTTATCAGCAAGACTAATTTTCGGAGTTCCATGTCTAATTGCGTTCGTGATCTATAAATGGCGAAGAAGACATTTGTCGAGTTATAGCATCATAGAAGATTTTCTCCAAAGTGACAACAATTTCTTGCCAATAAGGTACTCTTACTCAGAAATTAAAAAGATGACTGGTAAATTTAAGGACAAGTTAGGTGAAGGTGGCTATGGCTCTGTATTCAAAGGAAAGTTGCGCAGTGGCCGTTTTGTAGCAATTAAACTCTTGGGCAAGCCCAAAGGTAATGGGCAAGACTTCACAAGTGAGGTAGCTACCATTGGAAGGATTCACCATGTTAATGTGGTGCAACTTGTTGGTTATTGTGTTGAGGGATTAAATCGTGCTCTAGTATATGACTTCATGCCAAATAGCTCTCTTGATAAATATATTTATACCAAAGAGGAAAACATGCCTTTAAGTTGCAAGAAAATGTATGAGATTTCTCTCGGAGTGGCTCGAGGGATTGAATATCTGCATCAAGGTTGTGACATGCAAATTCTACATTTTGATATCAAGCCTCATAACATTCTTCTTGATGAGAACTTTAACCCAAAGATTTCTGATTTCGGGCTTGCGAAATTATATTCCGTAGATAATAGCATTGTCTCTTTGACGGCAGCAAGGGGAACAATGGGCTATATTGCTCCTGAGTTGTTCTACAAAAACATTGGAGGTGTTTCGTACAAAGCTGATGTCTATAGTTTCGGAATGTTGCTCATGGAAATGGCAAGCCGAAGGAAGAATTTCAGTTCAATGGTAGAGCGTTCAAGCCAAACTTACTTCCCATTATGGGCATACGACCAATATAACAAGGGAAATGACTTGGAGATGGGAGATTTTAATGAGGAGGAAAAGAAAATCATAAAAAAGATGGTTATAACTGCATTGTGGTGTATTCAAATGAAGCCAAGTGATCGGCCTTCCATGAACAAAGTCATAGAAATGCTAGGAGGAGATGTTGAATGCCTAAAAATGCCCATCAGACCTTTTCTGTATCCACAGGAGATGCATGCAGGTGATGTTCAAGAAAATAATTTGAACTCAATAGGTTCAAACGGGGAGTTAACATGGACTTTGTCAGCTAGGTGATCATCAATTGTTAGAAAATGCAATCTTTTTTTTTTTTTTAGACCTTTCCTATTGAGATGGGCAATAATATACTAAACTCACATATATACTATATTGATGCTAGGACTCAAACCCAGGACCTTACTTGGAAGAGCAATTGTTCCAAACCAATACACTAATGGGTCCTTTGCATGGAATCATTTATTGTTAAACTCTAGCTTCCTACTATTATTTGGAAAATATTAAACAAAATACATCTTTTTTCTTTGTCTTTGGGAAAAAACTAACTCACTATAAAAGTTAACGACACAGCGTGACAATTGATTGGTTGAAACCTTAGCCTAAAACATGTAACTCTAGAATCCACAAGAAATTTGAGAGAACCTTAGGCTTATTTGATAAACCAGAAATAAAAACATAGCCCTAACCACAGGTAAAGTATGTTTTAATACTCCTAGAAACCCTAGGAGTAACAAAAGAATTAAAATAGGAAAATAATAAAGTTTCCAAAAACTGTAAAAATTTAAAACTAAATTTTTTACTAGTAAATGATCTCGGATGCCCAAAAAATCACATACATCACGGCAAAGTGATGAGTTTTACTTGTAAAGTCGTTCTCTTCGAATCTTCGGGTCATGGGCCCAATTCTCAGCTTGAAGCCCAAATCTGCAGCTCACCCGATTTGTCTTTCTGTGCGCATCGCTCCAGCTCCTCTTCAATTGCTTCCGCCATTTATTCTACATTAGTGCTGATGCAGCGTGACAAATGATCAACTAAAACCTTAGCCTAAAACATGTAACTCTGGAATCCACAAGGAAATATGAGAGAACCTCAGGTTTATTTGATAAACTAGAAATAAAAACATAACCCTAACCACGGGTACGTATGTTTAAATATTCATAGAAATACTAGGAATAACAAAGGAATTAAAAAAGGAAAATAACAAAGTTTCCGAAATTGTAAGAACTTTAAAACTGAATTTTGGGCTAGTAAATGATCTCGGATGCCCGAAAAAGCCCATACATCCCGACAAAGCAATGAGTTTTATTCATGATGCCACTCTATTCGAATTGAGGTGTCATGGGCCCAATTCTGAGCTCAGAGCCTCAATCTGCAGCTTACTCGATTTGTCTTTGCACGCCCATCGCTCTAACTCCTCTTCATTTGCTTCCACCATCTGTTCTACATCAGTCCATTCCACTTTCGAAGAACTCGACGTTGAGTTATCATAAGGATAAATTGACTTATCATCATGGAACTCATGTAGATCTGCAACAT